AATTCAAAACATTTTTATTTGAACAAAATCATAACATTTTGGTTTGATTTCACCTAGTTTCACAGGCTTGTTTTTTTTTTTAAAAAAAGGACATTTTGAAACTAAAAGTAATTTCAAACTAAATAAATGAAATATTTCTTTGATATTTTCAAAAGCAAATATTCTGAGAAGGGTGTTTGAAATTGTAATATGATTGAACAATGAACTGAAACTAGCATGAATTGTGCAATGTTTTGATGTTGCCAAATCTCCAATTTTGATGAAATATTTTTTGGCCTAAAAATGTTGCCCAGTTCCATGGCACTAATAAATATTAAAAACTGTTAATATAATTTCTTATGTTTTGCCCTAGTGGCTGCTGCTAATACAACATCTCCGTCAACAGGTAACTCATCGCTTACATATCATTCACCATGACATAAAATTTTAATATGCTGAAATGCACATGTACGGGATCACCACTGAAATTTATTATAGGCAGAGCTGGTAGCGCCACTTATAATTAAGGTTTACCAACACTTTCCATGATAAGATCCAAATTTTAGTTGCTTATTACTTTGCCAAACCTCAACCATTAAGGCTCAAATCCATTTGTGCAAGAGACTGAAGTATTGTGGGACATTTCAACTAAAACATTTCAGTTGTTACAAAAATAAGAGTAGGGAAAACATGTTGTTTTGCCCAGGTTAAAAGAAATCTTCCAACTGTTTCAAGAGGTCTGGTGGCTCCATGATTGGGTGTGGGGATTTGGAATTTAGCAGAAGGGATGTGCATTTTGCCATTCCTCTAAAAATTCACCATAGGTCTCTAGTTATGCTTCTGTTATCTTCCTGCAGGAACATCAGGATCCACTCCATCATGGCCCTGGTACACAACAACTGGCAAGTGCTAACTCATTTTGGTTTCATTAAAATGTTTCTCTCTGATAGGGTTCTGTGCTAGAAATGTTTTGAAAATCTAGCCTATGGTTTTATAGTAGAATTTCCACATGAACTGAAAGGAGAGAAAGGACAGGTTGAATAGCAATACGAAGGGCAAATATCAACGTGGTACAGGCAATAAATGTTTCTCAGTATATTTGTTGAACTGTATAGGTCCATTACGCACCCAAACACTTGCTTATTGTACCCACAGAACACTGAGATGTGGAGAGTAAATATAGTGTTCTTCAATCTATCCAACTCTCCCTTCTGTTCCATCACTCCCTCCCTAGAAGAGAACAAGATCCTCACATTTAGATTGCCCTACTAGCCTCTCTGGCCAGAACCTAAATAGGTCATTTCCCAGGAGACATTAAGGCACTTTTCTGACTGTTAATATATGGTCCTTCCACTGATTTTGAAAGGAAATATCTAGCATGATAACGACAGCAGAAGAGAAAA